TTAACTCTTAAAAGCGGGTCTGAAAATGATAATAATATATAATATTCTTTGTTTACTGTCTCAATTAGAGTGAAGAGTGGGAGAAAAGGGCGCTTTGAAACAATTATATCCAATGTTCTATATCAAAACTTAAACTTGTAAAATGAATTTTCTTGGTTGCACTTAATTTTCAAATTAAGTGGCATAGTTACCATTGCCGTTGTTGTCGCTACCCTACCATATTTTGAAGAACACAAAGTCGAACCAATGTATGAGGTTTCGATTTAATGGAAAGGCAACCACAATGACTTTGCTGCTCCTGCAAATGATGCAGTAATACAAACAACAATGTAATAAAAACATCAAATACCAGAAAAAACGACAGTATGTCCACTGACGACTTTTAAGATTCAAACCAATTTCAATCAACTCCAAAGACCAGAGTCACCACATAAGCAAACACTGTCACACTCTTGCAAATAAACATCGAATCGAGTAAATATGGTTAAAAAAATGAAATGGAGTGAAGTGAGTTAGACCCACATAAAACTCATTCATGAACCAACCAAGCTATACATATATGAGCAATACATGAGGGCGCCAAAGCAAAACTACGATTAACAATGCTGCCATTACCATGACCACTTCACGAATATTATTTGTTGAAACTGCACCGAGTACTCTCGAGTACCCACGAACAATAGTCGTTTAGTCGTTGGTAATGTCGGTTCGACAGGTTCGGTTGCCCTTCCTACTATTTCAATATCGACTTTGTGCTGCTGTTAAGTATTTTACAATTTAACCACAATCGTTTAGTTTAAATCGCCTTCTTTTTGTCCACAGAAAAAGCATCAAAAAGATCGCAAAGTAACAGAATGTAGTAAAGTATAATTTTTTAGCCATCAAGACCAGACGATGGAGACGTGTACCCTTATGCGTTCCGTGAAATGAGTCAAAAATTGACATTCGATTTGCGGGACCATTGCGCAAGAGTTGCCATCGTTGTTGCTGCCGATACTGTGTCTACTCGTTTGAGTTAGTGTAGTCGCCAAATACATGGGCTGACATTGCGACCTCTTTGAAGAAGAAACAACGCGCTAACTTGGCTTACCGTTTATGTGTAACTAAATAGCCGAAGCGACACACTAGCTTGCCCCGCCTTCAAGTGACAATCACAACAACAACGACAACAGCAACAACAACAACAACATAAGATAGATAAAACGAATATTGCATTTGTCTATAGTGGAATCTATAGAATCACCAAAATGGGTGAACTGAAAAAATGTGTATGTTTTTGTCGTCAAATCGTTGTTGCAAAGGAAAATATTTTCTGTTAACATAAAAACATTAAAAAGAAATAAACGTGGACAAAAAATTATTTCATTTTCATTCATTTTCATTCATTTTCGCGCGTTATCTACACACAATTGCTCACTTTAATTGCGGAAGTTGCCATTTGCCATGCACGAATGTTTTCTTTGCTTAAGTTTATTTGAAGACCGGAAGGCGAATGTCATAGCTGATATACAAGTGCTGCTGTTCACATGCTACCATCGTCAAACTGCCATTTTTATTTAGTTATGCATGTATTCACACATACACATATATGTGTATATATATTTATAAATATATCTATTTACATGTACACAGAATGTATACATTGTCTGTCTTGTTCGACGAGTTTTCGACGGGAAATACCTATAAACATATGTATGCATATATATAAGTTTACCTATATAATGTAGTTCTGAGGATGTGGCAAGAGGAGCAACTTGAGACTAGTGCAATACTCTCTGTAGTTTAGAGATTATTATAGATAAAATTGATTTTGTTTCTTTCAAACCCAAAGCCCACATTTATCAACGAAACTTCTACGAAACTGCGGTGCAACTTTAAGGTCTTTAGAAAGAGCAAAATTGAACTAAGATTATTAAACACTTGTTTAGCAGAATTACTCCTCTTTGGCACTTTATATTAGAGTTTCCTTACTAGTTTGCTCCTTACTTTCACTGCTACAAGGATTGATATCAAAAGTTACCTATAGAAAAGCCGTGCACAAAATATTATAAATGTGATAATATTAAAAGTACTATACTATGTATATATCTAGACAAAGTATATGGAGTTTACTAGAAAAAAAACTTGAGATACAGATGGATAGTGTGGATAGATGGAATGCTAAGTAGTAGGGACTTATTTTCTAAGCTTGGCAGCACTACTGGCAACGCCAGTGCTGTATGAAAGTGCTCTCAAGGTTGGATTCTCCAACCATTACTCTGGTTGCCATGCTTTTCAAATAGAATAATGGTTTGTAATCGAAAAAAGTCACTACTGGCGCAATAGTACAGATAACTGCAAGGCTAAACAGCTGGTTCTTCTGTACATCTATGCTTGTTGGTATATAAATTATCATTTATAATTTTCACTCTCAATATATACACATACAATATATATAAACCTTTTTATTTATTATAAATAAATACTTATTTCTCTTTCTCTTTGCCCGGTATTTGTTCCAGTGTATTGCATATGAAAATTAACTACTACGAATAATTTGTTCTGAGCTTATAAACACACAATGTAAATCAACTAATTTTCCATGAAGAAGAAGACTCTGTTTTTGTTAAAAAAAAGGACACATTTCATGCAGATTTTGCACACTAGGTTTTTCACACTATCAGCTCAGCAACGTAGCCGCGGCTTATGCTCTCTTATGAACAGCATTGGAACCCAAATTCGATTGCAATTCCTCTATGGCCAGTGCTTTTAAAACTGAAGACAGCAAGTATAAACTATCGTCGTAGCCATTGCTCCTGTAGGCATGTGTATCGGTTAAGCAAGAGCGAATGTAAAAACAAAACAAAAAAAGCATAAAAAATGGCTGCAGAAATGGAAGATAAAGAATGTGAAATATTAGAAAGAAGTACAAAAATTATCAAAGCAATTTCCGTTAACTTAATTTAATATAATGGCATGTCGCATTTCCTTACAGCAATTCGTTGCCTGCTTATTTGTCGCTCGTGCTTCTTGCTTCCTTGGCTCGCTTTCGTAGGGTCTGGTATGTTTTGTAATTCTGTGACTCAATGACTCTGTGAATCTGTGAATCTGTGAATCTGTGACTCTGTGACTCTGTTACTCTGTTACTCCACGATTCTGTGCCACCAGGAAACACCTCAGTTGCAGCTGATAATGAATGGCGGTCATAATTTATTTACACAGCAGGTAAAATTTCGATTGCAGTCATCCGATATTGCCGCGTAATCATTTTGTGCCGTATTTACGCTGTCCCATAAATAAAATCAAAATATAATTTAAAAAATCGTTAAACTCTATTCAGTTAGTAAATTTATGATATCAGGCGCTGTGGCGCCTAGTGCAATTACAAGGGTAACCATTGTAGTGTACTTCAGATGCACAGAAGTGAGACCTAAAATTTGTAATCATATTCTTTAAGTATATGAAAAATTAAGAACAAAAATATTTAAGCCCCCTTAAATATTGGTTAAGGGTGACACTGATGTTGACTTGTGTATGTGCTAACAGTTGGTAGAGTCTGGCTGAGTTCTCGCACAGTGACTGTTTTAGACTTTAGTTGGAAGCTACATTAATTTGATCGAATTTTATGGCGCATAAAATTTCGTTAACGTTTAAAACAAGTTTTTTGATTTTCAAAATAGCCCAAAAAACTTGTAGGAACTACTTTTAGATTAGATACATCGAATTTTATGTTCAAAATTTATAGGAACACATGAAAGACTAGCAATTAATTACTTAGTGCATTAGGGAAAATTTTATTTTTTTTAATTTTTACTACGAAGTAGAATTAATAATTTAATTAAGTCAACAAAAAACTTTAAAACTAATTAAGACTATATCTTCGAACCATACACATAAAACCACTCTCTTTAACATATTGTGATGAGCGTAGGAGATGTAAAACTGTTGCTGAATTACAATAGATATAGACTATTTTATCTGGTTTACAATAATCTTGACTGCAGAATGAGATCGAAGCGAAAATGAAGTGAAATTATGGAGAGAATGGATTGTGTCTTATTAATATAGATGTTAACCAGTTCCGGAGGTGTGAAGTGAAATATCAAACTGTTGAGCGTAATCCATTCTAAGTCCAATATAAATCCAATTATATATAATTTCTACGATCACAAAATCACAAAACTGTTTATAAGAATGTAAAGTACGTATATTTTATTGTTTTATTTATTCATTGAAATAGTTGTCTCAGAAGACAAAAGTTCATAAAATTTCATAAGTATACTCTAGTTGATAATTCAAACTTTAAGAAACTGTGGCATTTTCAGAAAGTCACCTTCAGAGTCACCTGAGGACCTGTTCTTTATCAGTTTGTTAAATACTATTTGGTATACGACATAATTTCGTTTCTATTCTTTGGACATTTCAATTGAATATTTTATATTTAAAGTTACCAACTTTTTTCAACTTTTGGCGCTTATACACGTGTCCCCTTTGCCATCTTTCTGGTTCGTTCTTATGTCGGGGTGCTTGCATATATCTAACTAGTTCATATATCGATTAGAAAAAGAGCCGCAATCAAGATTTGCTTACCTGAGTGTCTAAAGTTTATAAAAAACTGACACTGAAGTTGCGGAATGAAAGCTTCTATATAGTTGAGTTATTGAACAGGAAACTATTGAGATGCGTGCCTGATATTGAAATTCAGGTTTGGGAAAAGGAAATAATAGCGGATGACTATTGTTATTTATTCCCGATTAGTGACTCTTGTGATCGTTATTTCTGTTGTTTAATATCACTTTATTAATTGAAATAAATATAGAACGTGACATTAAATCTTTATTTGATTTAAGCAAACATAAACTTCTAACTGAAAACTATATTAATAACATTTTCAATAGATTTAGAAAATATGCATAAATTTTTGTTTTTGGAATTGTCACAAATTTTTTTCAAAAAAATTTTTTATTACAAAATTTTCGAAAGTTTCACAAAATTTTTGAATAATTCTGTTTAAGTTGACGATGACGTCCAAGGAAGAGCTCGCGGCCAAAGCAACAACAGCTGCCGCCTCTGGCGACTTTGAGAAGGCATTGGCTCATATGAAAACTCTGGTGGATCTTGGTGAGGGTTTGACAAAAAGAGAAATAATGCTATTGTTCAGATGTCATCTAGCATACTTTCATATACAGCGATCGCAATTGGAATCCATACGGTCAGTTGCTCAAAAATGTTTTAATCACAAATTCCGAGGTGAGTTGGCAGATTCTTATAAAGAGCAGAAAATCCTGCTAAGAGATGAATGCTTTTGCATGGTAAATTTTCTTAATAAGAAACTGTGCAAAGTCGTTGATGACATGGAAGTGCTAGTCACTGCCAAGGAAATAGTGGGCAATTGTTATTGGTACTTACAATCTATAAGTGACATGATTGATCGCCACTCATATGGCATATACGCATTAGAGGCATATCGTGATGGTTTCATTTTAGCTGAGAACTTATCACCAACTCATGCAATTCGTTTATCCTTTGTTTTAAATTATTCGCAATATTTGGAAGAAAACACACAGTTTACTGATGTCGCAGAGTCAATAGTACGTGATCTCTATACAAAGGCAACCAAAATTGCATCTAAAAAGAATTCTCCTCCATTAGAAAACAATGCACAAGCGTTTCTGCATCGCTTGAAGAGCTCCATCGAAAGTTTTGATTTGAAAAATTCGCTTACTGTAGATGTCTTTGATTCACTAAAATGAGTTAAGATTCATGAACTTTATCGAACAAACTTCCAGTTGTCAAATCCGGGTATCGTTGCCAGAAAATAAAATTCAAAAAGTTGACAAGTTGCCTTATTTTATTAGAAGAACATCTTTTTTTCGGTTAAACAATTTTTAAAAACAGAATTTGTGACACATTCATCAATAAAAACATATTAATAAATGCTGAAAAAATAATTTCAATCGTTTCGGTCAAATTACGGGCGTAGCCAAAAGGGAATATTTAATCCCGTAAGTGTACTACTAATATTTCGTAATGAATGAAATGGATAGTCCTGCTATTTTCCGCATCGAAAATAGCAGGACTATCGAGGACTGTACCGAGGTGTCAACCTAATTTATGAGCCTTTTTTGTCATCTCGTCTGCTGTCTATTTCCCTTTAATGCTCTACGTCCAGCTAATAATGTTGATAACATGCATATTTGATAATTGAAACACCTTATCTCGTCACATTTTAACATAGTGGACCAGAAGAAAAACATCCACCACAGCTATCTCGACATTGCAACGAAATATTGAAAAAAGACTTCTTTGTGCATTTTATTATATTTTTCAAAAAAAAAACATTCAAATATTTACAAAAAATTCTTACCCAACGAATCGCTCTGGTGCGTATGCCAGTTGGACGCACTTTACCGTTAAATGCCTTGAAAAAAATCTTGAATCACTTATGTTCCATGCAGATTTTAAACAATTTTCAGAGAATTCACCAGTCTGTCTCCTTATCAAGATCGGAATAAATTAACAAACATTAAACATAAATCAATCGGAACTGCAGTGCTGCTGCGGCAAGTACGCGAGTGGGGTAAGTACGCGAGTGCACTGCGATGCATGTCAACTGCAGTGCAGACGACGACAACAAATGCGACAGATGTTTGCGTGGAAATGGAGTCGAAAATGCTATTATGTTCCATTGCAGTGGTCAGCACGCTGACTGTGTATATACTTCAAGGACCTAAAAAGTAAATTAACTATTGCATTTTATTCAGTTTGATCATTGCTGCAAACCCATTTCTATCTAATTTGGATATAAAAATGGTCGAGTTATTAGTCAAACCAAATTATAATGGCCTCCACTAAATTTATTTCTATTGGCAATACCCGCGAGAAATTCCCATTGCACAATTGTTTTCTTTAAATAATTTAATAATAAAAACTTAAGTTCGATTGAGGCCTTCACTCGATTGGCATTCTCACTCTTCATATTGCTTCTTGGTAAGAGTGCTTTGTCAAAATGCCATATCCGCTAGTCATAAGGATGGTTAAATATTGTAGAGCAGTACAACTGTTTTAGTGGGCACTGGTGATATAAGGATTAGTAAGGAATGTTTCATCAATTAAAACTTTTAGGAATCACTAATTCAAACACATAGGTGCCGAGAAAAAAAAAATTCCCATTTTTTATAAGCTTCCTGTCGTTTTTAATTCTTTAAGTATCCTGTAATTAAAACAGTGGAATACGTACATAAATCGATATAATAACCCGTTTTGAGGTTTGAGGTAATGAAAGCGTTACATCCTAAGTACGTACTAAATCCACCGTAATTACTATCAACAATAGTAATTCTTCATCTGATCTCCATCTTCTTTGCTATTGTTAGTTATTGCAATGCTAAAATAGTCAAAATCTTTGACAGCTTCAAAAGCACGTTCGAAGCAATCCTATGCCTTGAAGTAACACACAATAATAACCGACACATATTATGTCTCGTTTTGTTTATCGGTTAGTTCTTTTTCGCAGATTCTTCCGCCGATTCAAGAAAGGCAGTAGTATCATCAAGCTTGTTACATCCAATGATATTGATGCTGGCAGTTATATACCACAACTATGAGATGTCATAACATTACGATGAACACCTGCCCTTTGCATAAAAATTTCCATGACGAAAAAGATTACAGTATAAGTAGTTAGGCCTCGTATGGCATTAAAAGTTGCGAATAGACTTGAGAGCAATATATTGATATGTCTTACGATATCAAGATTATAATTATTTATTAAAAGCCTAAAACATGAAAACCCAACAGCCGATATTACGGCCAGAAGAGTCACATTGTATCAATTTTACTATTGATTACACAAAGCCGCTTAAAGCTTTGTCAACAAAATCCGGAACTAAATCTAGAGAAGAGCTCTTAATCTGTTCTCGTGACGAAAATTCCATATGAAACAAGTTTCTTCTGTGCGTTATTAAGGCTGGGCAGTCACAAGCAATATACATGGTAATTTCCTTATCTTCGAGGCATAATCTTCCGGATTCCGGATTAGCAGATAATTATAGTTTATGAAGGTGATATTTCAGACCATATGTTAATGACCTGTGATGAAACCTTAAATTACATTTTGAGAATTTTCTGATGCAGTTTCGGCTAGCTCATCAGCTTGTTCATTTTCCAAAACTCTCCTGTGACCCGGAACCCAGTAAGGGCTTACCTTATTTCGAGCTGCAAGTAGCTTTAGGAGCTCATAACACTCATGGACCTGTTTTGACTTGAAAGTGCACGTCGACAGAGCTTTAAGAGCAGCCTGGCAACATACGAAATCAGGATAGATTCAGCTTAAGTACCTCAACCGGGACAAAGCTTTAATAAATTAAACATATATAGACATTTAAATAACAAATAACGCAATGTGTCAGAATTATCTCTAAGATAGGCTCAAACAATTGAGTCTATCGCATTGGAGTCGGTTCCATTTACATATATACCCAGTGGTGTGCTAATAATGTGTTATCTATTAATCTCTTAACTGAGTTAAACCCAATTAATTCATATTTTTATAAATTAAAGTGTTTCTGGTTAACACTTCGAAGACATAACCAGCTAAACTGCAAAGTTAAGCTGCTCTGCTATAAGCAGCTTATTCGTTCTCTCCTCACTTACGCTTTCCCTATTTGGTCAGCCATCACTTCCGCTCTGATGGAAAGAATCCGCTTGTTTGAGCGGAAACTTCTTCGCGATTGCACTAATTATAAGCGCAAGCCTAATGGCAAACACTTTTCCATATCAACTCTCTATAACAATGCCAAGATCACTCGTGTTGACGAGTATCTTCTGTCACTCGCCCGTAGGTATCTCACCCGGCTCCATGACCTTCCCCCCGACGTTTCCATTCCATCCACTCTCTCAGAAGACTTTGTTCTAGCTTTGCGCTATAAACCCCCCCAATAATTGACTCACTACTTCGACGAAGTGGACCGTAACCTCTCCACTATCCCCTTATATAACCGCGGCTTTCGTGACCCCAGTCACAAAGTATATTGTTGATTCAATCCCCGCTAGTTAGCCGTAACCCCTCCCCCTTCTATACCATCCATCCTACCTAGTTTATGCCCTTGCTTTCTGACTTAGATGAATCTAGTTCACTAGGTATTAAGTCTATTTTCTCATTCCTCTGAAGATCTCATTCCACATTACTGTGGAAATCTTCTTCATTCATTCCTAAGAGGTGGTTTTAGTGGGTTCAAGTCTCACACTGTGGCTTTCGATTGTTTTCCACCTACGCAAAAAAAAAAAAAAAAAAAAAAA